TACCGTAAAAGTTGTCGATGCTACAGATACAAAACGTGTAAACTAAGTACGTATTGATAACATTAAATTATATTAGCTGCTTGTACTTATTTAGACGCGCTTGAAATTGAACTAGGATCACAATAGGATTGGCACTAGCGTAGCGGTTGCGGGGCCAAGCAGGGCGCCCGCGGGGGCCGCACGGCTTGCACCGGCTGTATCCGGTCATAGCCGGTTGTTGATACCGAAGCGGTTAGTGCATCGCGCGTAAGTCTATCTCCGCTGTGTGGGTCGGCGGCTAGGAAAGCCTTCGCCGCCCACAGAAGCGCGAGCAAAAGGCACAAACCTAAACAACGGTGAGGAAGTTGTGGGGCCCGAGTTGCGCAGCCTGATAGTCCAGCGCCGGATGCCTCCGAAGATCCAGACGAACCAAGCAAACCTTCTTCTCGAATCTGTGAAAGAAACAAACGTTTTAACCAAGCTTTAGCTTCATTCACAGAAAAAATTAACATAACATAAACAAAGAAAAATTAACAATAACAACCTAATAAAATTTTAGTAAAGTTAGTATTTAGTTAAAACTAACGTCAACTCTATTATAACTTTTTAGGAGTGGGTACTAATTTTAGTCGTTTTAGACACCATTCGTTTTATCATACGTATGTTTTATTCCAACTGTTATTGTAAAATTAAACGACAATGAACATTTAAAATATTTCGTACCACACTCGCTTCTTCAGCTCTTACTCAGGATAATTGGAATATCTATGTCGAATAAAAGTTTTCAATTAGAAATCATTTTATTTTCAAAATAAATAATCTATGGTCATGTAAAGAAATGCCAAAAATTAAGAGTTATTGAAAAAAAAAGAAAAACATACAGACGAATTGAGTACCTCCTTCTTTTGGGAAGTCGATCAAAAACTGAACAATTAGTGGCGCTAACAAAATTAGTTAATGTAGTTGGAATTCACATAAAATGTAATGTTGTTTCATATTACAGTTTCGCCTACCATGTGTGAGTTAAAATTATTAGCATCGATTAAATGTCAATAAACATTCTTTGTCAGCAGTTAACGTAATTATTCGTACATGGGTTTAATCGATTTAAAATATAGCCGATTCCAACAAAATCTCTCGATTATCTATGTTCAGAGTCATATCTTTAATTTTAAAACTATTGCAATTTATTAAATATACTACGTTTTAAATAAGAATGTGCATGAACCCGCGCCATATTGTGACGTCATAACTCTCGACTCGACAAAATGGCTACGACCACTAAAAGAGATTTTCGCAAAATAATCGTGGATTTAACACATTTTTATTATAATTTATATTTTTTAAGACATTTTTAAAAGATCGTCTTTATTACGCGCATCTTTATTTACAAGTCACTCTTGGGCTATAGATTATAAAGTCCAAAATGTAACATTGTAACGTTTTGTTTTGAATAGACGCGTGTGTATTGTATACGAGATTCATTCATCGATGTATTGTTTCCGATTTGTTTGTAGTAATGATTCGTCCGCGCTACCAATAGAATTTCAACGTGGACACTCTTGTTGATGTTGACACATAACATTTACAATATGATTGATTTTCTCGAACGGATTTTGACTTCGAAATGTGCCAAATAAGAGCGTGCGCACACCTGAAACTAAACTATCGCAAGACTGTTTAGTTTTGCTTTGATTCCTATGAGCTTATATGGAGGTGCGCACACTACTAAATTTCAATTATGCAACTAAGCAGTTAAATTGGCTGCGAAAGAAACGACAATCGCGATTGCGATTGTTTAGTCGAAGATGTGCGCCCGCTCTAATAATTCACAAGCTGCATGAAATGACCTCGAAAATCCCAATGCGTTCTAGAAACACAAGGAAAGCAAGATGAGACTGTCTCGTTGTTGTTGATAGTGTGTCTATGTGTCTGCGAGATTCGAATTTTTATGCTAAGAAATTGGTGATATTTCTACTGTAGTGTCATTTCATTCTAATTAGTTTAAATCTTGTATCAATTCGAGCTCTAACAACAACAAAGCCGTTAAATGGACACTAAGGGAGTCCCTCAGTATAGATTTAGTACAACTATGAGTTACTAACCGCGTGTGAGTCGTGCCAAACTAAAGCGAGATCATCGTCGATGCCGTTTTGCCTGACCTCCTCGGAGTCGGGCAGGCTGGCGCTGCCCCACGGGCTCTTGCCTGCCCCCGCCCCCGTGCTCTGCACCTCTGCCCCAGTGCCTCCGCCCCCGTCTCTACTCCCGTCCCTGCCCCCGCCTCCACTTGTGCTTAGGGAATTGCTCTCGGGGGACGCGTCGTACTCCTGTGCCGGGGTTTCCGTGCCGTAGAATATTAGTTCCCACTGCGTTAATGGTCCAGCTAGAGAAATTGAAAATTCAAGATTAGTCATTGAAATATTCGATTATTACTTTTTCTATTGTATCTTGGATCTGGTTTTTATGGAAATCACTAAAGGAATGATTTCGGCAACAAACATGTTCAAGTATATCGTTAGCAAATTCTGTAGGTGATTTTGCGGACAAGCAAACTGTAGTTTCACGAAGATCTATTTCGTTGTATAAACTATATACTCTAAAATTAATAAATAACATCATTTAAAAAAACACACAAAAAACCAAACACTAGAGCTATAAATAACGAATCTAATTTTACCTAAATCTATTTAACAACTAAAAAAAAACGCACGAAACAAAAGAATTAAGCTTAATAAGATATGTTAAAAGCGACAAAGTCAATAACTGGTTGTAAATAATAAAAATTAAAATACAAAATCATCGTGGCAGCAAGCACTTTTATCACAAACACTAGGAACGTCAACAAACTACATCGTGTGTAAAGCGGTTAACGATAAAAGTCACAAAACAAAAAAACTACAAAAAAATCATCTATAAAATGCAATGAGACGACATGCAGCATGGACAATAACTGCAGGCAACGGATATGCAGCGGAATTGCACGCATGCATTGGTACCGTTGGCTTGGAGCGGCGCTGGATATATCCTTTGAATCTTCGGATACTGCTCGAATAGATTCGACATCTTTCTCCCTCTAGCATCAGCTAATGGATCTGCCAGATTCCCTTGCAAATTCAAACTTAGATTGGGAGCCGTTGACGTCACACGTGACGTAGTACTTTCGATAGGGGATCTTGTAGCTGGATGACTCTGTTTCATTTTCTGAGACCCTTTGGTATTCTTCGAGTTCTTGTTTTTCTTCCTTTTGACTAAGCCGA